TAATTAATTTTGTTTCACTTACTTAAGCGTTCTTAAATTTTTTCAATGCAATTTAAACCATATTTGGTGTACTTTCAGCAGAACTCTGATGCGTACGTTACGGCAGGCAGCGCGAACAATCTATTATAAGTTTGCAAAGACTTCCTATATCTATCTGATTGAGACGTTAATGAAATTCTCTCTGTGGTTTCATTTCAAAAGATAGCGTACCGGGTACTATAGGATGCTATTAGTTGCGCAATTCAATTTCCGGGTTTCGCATATGGATAGCGGTAATAGCATATAGTTTGAGCATACATTTTTGAAGTCATCTACTTTTTTTTTAAAAGCTTGGACAGCTCCATTTGCTAACAATCATCTCATTGCAAAAATATTTTCTGCAACAAGAAAGATCGCCAGTTTTGTGCGATAAAGAATATCATACGCGGAAAACTTTACTCTTTCTGATTAGTTCGAAGCACAGTGCTGTTGAATAGTTAGACAATGCGTTACGATATTCAAAGTCAGTAGACTTAAATTAAATCGTAGCTATAGAGAGGACCCAAGTCGCCCACCCAGAGCACTCATTACACTGCGGCCACCAAGTTACTATCTGTCGTTCCTCTTTCCTCACTTCTATCTATTAAAAAAAAAAAGAGTAAAATATATTCATGGCGATCCCATTTGCGCTACATTATGATTTGTTCCAACCAAATGAAACCATCAGTACGTAACGCAAAGTAATGAATGAAACTCACCGAGCAAGTCTTTTACAAAAGTAGCCTGGAAGATGCCTCGCTTGCCCCGCTTTCATGGATAGGCATTATCCGCTCTGAATAACATTAGTTTCAATCGATCATTCGTCTGATGGCACCTACATAGTAGGGCTTCTCGTGGATTCCCCGTTGATAGCCAGTTGTTCTCGCCGCACAGACTTTGCTGATGCTGACTACAGGATGGAAAATTTATTGACCAGCGATGGATAGATAATATTTCAAAAGAAAAAAATATATCCCAAAATTTGTTATTGTTCTTTTCATTTTTTTTTTTTTT